TTCGTGTACGAAACTATGCCTACTCAGCTTCGAAAATTCGACCAGACAAGTTTTTCCATGGTTTGCTACACGAAGCTAAGGAGGAAAGCAATTATTTTGAGCACCACCGGTAGTTGTTCATCTCACTCAGTTCATGTGGTTTTAGATTATAACAACCCGGTTTTAGACTCAATTCTCTCTAGTTTATTTTAATTTGCAAATTTCTAGCGCATAGATACCTATGTATTTTGCGCTTTACAAATCCAAATTATTATTATAATTATTATTAATTAATGTTGATGTTTAATGAAAATATGTTGCATTATAGTTTGTTTATTGTTATAGTTTATTGTTATAGTTATTTTACTTATGGTTGCTCTGAAAATGGCCGTTTGTTTTGAATATTTTCGGGGTTTTTGATGACGTCATCGTCGATACGAGGCGTACGTAAAACCGAGGGTTCGTATAACTGGGGTACGTAAAAATGAGGTTCTACTGTAATATCAAAATTATGTTAAGTAATTAAAGAATAACATCTTATGTATTACAGGCCTCAAATTTGGGGATTTTATGGGCAAGCCCAAATGGCCTCTGATATGACTTGATTTTGAAAGGCACCAAGGCCATATGGAAAGACACCAAGGCCAAAATTTAAAATATAAAAGGGCACCAATGCAAAATTTGATTTAGCCTCTGTACAATACTAACTTCTCGCGAGTGCCTTGATTCGTAGCCAGGCTAGGCGTAGCCAAGCTAGGCAAAGCCAAGCTAGGCGTAGCCAAGCTGCAGTAGGCCTAGCCAAGCCATCGTTGTCAATGGTAAAATGACTTTGTTTAGAGTATTAACTATTAATTATCGATTCAATGTTGGAATATACTTTTAGTTTTTTGTGGGCGGTCAGCGATCGTAAACAAAACAGTCGAAGTTCAAGAAGTTCAATCCTGCTGTTGTTGCTCAGTACGTCATCATCGGAGAGGAGGCCACACCTCTAAACTGGCCGTTATCAACTAGATTAGCCGAGTGTCAACCAATATAGGTTAATTTCAGACACTTGAGTTGCGATGACGTCAGATCGCCTAAAGCTAGCTGCACAGCAAGCACATGTTTATGTTCTTTAACGTACTGAGTCAGACGCATGCGCACACAACGATAATCGCAAAAACAGTTCGTATCAACACACATGGCACTTCTCATGTTCTGTCTAGGCCTAGGCTAGCCTAGGCGACATACGTTTTTGGCTTTCATGTTTTCTTTCAAGATTTGAACGTTCTTATTTAGATTTATTTTACGTGTCAAACGATCTATATTAAGCAATTTGTATTCCAAGTATTAAATGATTTGCGGCCTATTGCCTTAACCAGTGTTCCTATGAAATGTCTAGAAAAGGTTGTTAAGGGACAAATCTTAGAAAACGTTAAAGATTATCTTGATGACTATCAATTTGCCTATTGTTCAGATAGAAGTGTTGAGGATGCCGTTCTCACTCTTTTAAATGGCATCTATGAGCACCTTGATGGTCGAGGTGGTAACTTTGTTAAAATTGTATTCATTGACTTTGCTAGTGCCTTCAATACAATGCAGCCGCATGTTTTAGCACATAAACTAATCGACCTTAAAGTAAATCCTGTACTTATTAAATGGACTTATAGTTTTCTAAGAAATAGAAGTCAAATGGTTAGAATAAATTCTACCACGTTGTCAACTATGTTTCGAAATACAGGTGCTCCCCGCAGGGATGCGTGTCTCCCATACTATATTCCCTATACACAAACGACTGTAAACCTCGGTTTCAGTGTACAAAGATCATTAAGTATGCCGATGATACGGCTATTGTTGGTTATTTAAATGCTAACCATTCCTCTGTTATTGAGTTCAATGAAGATACCGTATTGAAATTATTAACACTTGGCGGTTAAATATTTTCTTAGATCTAAATGTCAGCAAAACAAAAGAGATGTTACTCAATTTTCATGTTAAATATTGAACTGAGGTTGTACCAGTTGAATTTAATAGTATACAGATGGAAAAGGGTCGATAATCAGAAATATCTAGGCGTTGTCTTAGACAACCAGTTGAAATTTGACGAACCAGCTGAATATGTATGGAAACTAAGAAAAAGAATGTTTTTCCTGAGGAGACTACATGTGTTTCAAACTGATTATTGTATTATTTCTTTGTTTTATAAATCTATTGTGCAAAGTATTCGGACTTTCTGCATGGTGTGAATTCTTTCAGGGAGAGTGACAAAAAACTGTTCTTTAGAATCACTAGACAAGCAAGTAAGATTATTGGTCAACAAGTTTCATCACTTGACGTAATACATAAAGATTTTATTGTTACCAAAGGTCAAAATATCCTTAAAGATGAAACCCATCCTTTGTTACACAGTTTTCGAGCTAGCCCAGTAAGTTCCAGATTACTCCTTAAGAGAAAGCCTAATACAGAGCATTACAGAAAATCCTTTATTCCAACTGCTATCAGAGTGTTTAATAAAACCATTACTAGATGAGTTTAAAATAATAATTACGGTAACAAAGATAAAATAATTATAAAATAATAATAATAATAATAA